CTGGCCGGTAGTTTCCAGCAAGATTTCTCGCGATTCCCGTGGCCCAGCCCCTTTGGAATAACGCTCGATGTTGGTCGTTTTTCTCGCGCCAGAGCCGCGGTGGAATTGGCCGATTCGAAGGTGGAACGATTTCGAGTAATTGCTCGGCCAAACTGAGAGAAACTCACGAGCCGATCGACCTCTCGTTCTTTCCTCGTATCGATCGCGCGTGGATTAGGGTAAACGAGGACATCGATGAAACTGTGCTGGGCGATTTTGTCGGTGGTTGTGCCTGAACTAGTAGCCAAGAACAAGTTTCTCGATTAAAAGAAACTTGGTGCCGGAGGGGCGAAGTCGAAGACGGTTTAACGCGAATAGACGAAGCTAAAATTAGATGGTTGTTCGAGGTTACTTTCTTCGAATGGTGTGACGAGTGATTTATCTCCCCTGAGATGATCGACCTGTTGTTGCCCGTTTTTGTTTTACCAAGTTTTATTTTATTTCTTTCGATATTTACTTTGGCCTGGCGTGAATTTGTTGGATCGCATTTTTCAAGTTAAAAGCTTCGTACGGAATTATAGGAAAACGTTATACGAGTTCAATTATCAAGATGTCCGGTCTCTAATTGTCTCTGTGACAAATAGTTTTCAGAAAAATTTCTCTCCTGCAATCGTAGAAATTATTTTTGATTTGTTTTATATCTACCGCTTGAGGACAAACCGAGTTGTGTTATTTTATTCATAAAGAACGCAGTGTCGCAAATGCTCTTCTGTTTCAATTATCGTTCCTTCGTTATTCTCCCAATCTTTTTGAAATTTTCATTTATTGAAGATTAAATACCAGTCATGAAAGCAGGCTAGCTTTAACCAGCTTTAATAAATAAGAAACGGTACTTCGTTGAAAAGTGATCAAAGCTACGAAAAGACCTAATATTTTCTAATATAACGTTTTCGAGTTTCAAGAATACTCCTAGTATTTTCTAATCCTATGTAGAATACTTCCGAATTTTTAACACTAGAACTATCACACCAGTCAAAATAACTGGTTCTACAATTTTATAAATGTGTCAACCTTCGTTTAGGGATCATGGTCCCAGATGGATTAATAATACGAAAAATGTACTACATAACATGGAATTCCTTCCGTAAGAAAGTAATGAATCAATAAATATAAAAATATTCTATTATTACGTACTTTTTAAAGACCAGTCATTTTGATTGGTTTTGGT